TCCACTAAGCCATCTTTTTTGATATAATTTAAAATCCTTTAAAATTAAAAAAGTAATAATTTAAAATCCTTTAAAATTAAAAAAGTAATAATTTAAGATCCTTATAAATTAAAAAAGTTTTCCATTGTGCCTTTTTGGGGAAGATTGTGACGTGCCCCAAACTTGAGAAATGTGGTAAGTGTACCAAGATATTTAAAATATTGTTAAAATAAATGAGGTGTGGTTGAGATCAATAAATTATATATTTTCGTTCAACAACGAAACTGGTACAAAAAACACGACCACGTGACACTATTATTAAAACATGATGTAAAATTTTATTAATAACAGCATACAGGGTCTATCAACTTTTTGACTTGCCCTGTATAGACTGTAATAGTTATCAATTTTGATTATTTAAGCGAAGGCTATTACAGCGTGATATTCATTTGGAAAATATTTCCATGCTTAAGTAAAAATTAAAATTCGATTTTCAGTAATTTAGAATTCATCCTGTTACCAATAATTTGCGTCATTTGTTATTCTGGAAATATTGTTTGATATCAGTAAAGCAATATTTTTGAAGCATATCTATAATTATATTAGTATCTTAAGAGGCACGTCGTTTTTAAAAAATCACCAATTTGCAAGATCAAAGCCCTGTATATCAAAAACTAGTCATAGGATTAAGTGTGCCCATACAACATAAAAAATTCAGGACATTCGTAGAAGTCCATTTGTCCATAAGCTGGTTGCCTTTTCCATTTATTAATAATAAAAAATCAAATTATTTGTTATTATTAAAACAGATGTAAACAACTCCTTCAAATCACTCTATCTTTATAAACATATATTATTACTCATTATTTGTTGTTGTTTGTGTTCGAACTGTTACCAAATACCAGGCTATAAAACGACCGTAAAATGATCTGCAATTGCTGTTCTAGATACACTTATTTAGTGCGCTACCAACAGGCGACTTCAATAAACTATTTTGTGTAAAAATATGGCTAAACGAGCCCATGTTAAGCCCTTCTTAAATTTTAAAGGACAGTATTATTCGCCGATTGGCAATGATATACACGTAAAACGTTCAGTCCGGCAGTATACATAATCTTAGAATACAGATACCAATCTTGCATTATTTTTATAATTTCCAGATCTTCAAAAACATATTTCTTTTTTACACCAATCCAACTATACTGAGCTGCCACTGAATTCGTTAAAAGACCTCGCAATATGTTTGTGATTGAAGATTTAATGTTGTTTCCCAAGAGCCAGTCTACTTTGTCGAATCTAAAATATGGGAAAAACAATATTAATTTTTTTCTTATATACAATACATTAATATTTATGTTCAAAAACTAAATATAGAAACTTATGCATATTTTTTTAAATCTTCATTTTGGGCAAGATATGTATTTATATCCGTCATTCTTTTCACAAAAGTGGTGGGGAAATATCTGTTATATAAATCAAGCAGCTCATCATGTTTTTCAACTGTCTCTTCACTACAAACACCTACTACTCTATGTTATTAATCCTTTCTAATAACTCTTGCTGTACTAAGGACATTGCCATTACCTTCCTTTGAATGTCTCGTAGCATTTTTAAACAGTCCTGCTAGTTACATACATGGAAACTGCCCAGTTGATAATAAAACTGCTGACTAGCAGAAGACGGCCGAGGCTAATTATCTTATCTTTTATAATATAAAATTCATTCTTGGTTCTAACGTCGTTGAATAAAGTCGTTATAAAATTTGTAAATTTATGTTTTAAAAAGCTATTTTTTGAATTATTATATTTAATTTGCTGATAGACTAAAATATAATAGATATAAATCTTTCAATATTTTTACCTGTTTAATATTAAGTAAGATATTACAAAAAATGTACTTACTTAGTTCCTCTGTCAGGACTGGTCTCAATGTATTTATTTTGCTTGTTGTAGTAGTAGGTTTATTTAACCTTCCGCCGATAACGTTATGTCTGTCAGACCGACCGATTTGAATTTTCGCGGTTTAGTCCTAACGCATTCTCGGTCGAATCTGTGCTTTATAGTACCTTCCGCGACTGAGGTTGTCTATTCAGTCGTGAAGTCGCAAGCAGAAAGTGTGCATGGTTTCAGAGATAATTTGATTTTATTAGGCGATTCGGTCTCAGAAACGGACGTTATCTCTCGTGCATTATTTTAGGGTAAGAATAATTTTATTAATTTTTGCTTTGGTAATAATTTATATTACATTTTAGTGCAATAATTTTATAATGGATTTTGAAAGGGACCAAGAACGTTTATTAAGACTTTATGAAGAGGTTTTAACTGGTTCAGAGGCTGAACCAGATGATGATGAAAACAGTTTGGTAGACGACCATCTGAAAATTTTGGACAGGAGTTCTCCGATAATGATGAAAATTTGGTTGTTAGTGAAGAAATAGAAATACTAGTTCGAGGGACTGCAAGAATTCCTTGTCTCATTGGTAAAAATGGAACTACGAAATGGCGAAAATATCCTGCAACAATGCCAAATGTACGAACACGTGCCGAAAATATTGTCGCCCATTTACCAGGTCCTAAAGGAGTTATCCGGAACAAAAATAAAGCTTCACAAATATGGGAATGCTATTTTTCTATGAATATGTTAGAGAAAATTGTTACTAACACTAACAAATTTATAGAAACGCAAGCTTATGATGTATCGCAAAATAGATCTTATAGACCCACTGATTTATTAGAAATTAAAGCATTATTGTTATATATTTGTGGTGCTAGCAGAGATAACCGACGAAACTCTGAAGATTTATTTCGGACGAATGGAATGTCCATGGATATCTTCAGGCTTACTATGTCCCACATAAGATTTAAATTTTTGTTAAAACATATTCGTTTCGACGATAAAACCACCAGACAAGAAAGGGTGAAATTAGACAAATTAGCCCCGATTAGGGAAATTTACGACGAGTTTGTATTGTTACGAATAAATAGAACACCCTGTGAATAGGTATGTTATGATTTGTAAATTTTGTCCAAGGGCATGCACATTAAATACATTTGCAATAAAATAACAAAACGTGTAGTTGGACAAGGTTTTATTAAATCATATTATTAAAGTACAGGGTCAAGAAAGATCAACACGAGCATTCTTGGAAAATTACAAGTGAATTTTCTGGGAGTTCCTTTGGGTTTTTGTTGGCGATCGGTCGTGTCCAGTTTTTGGCACTAAGTAAATTTCGGGTCGGTCACGCGAAATCGCGGTTAGTTTTATTTTGTGTAAAACCACGTAGTGGAAAAAGTAACGTGTGCCTTTAGCCAGTCCTGCTGTCCAACGGATAACAATGTTAATGTAAGTAGATACTTTTAAGGAGTAATATTTAATTGTGTAGTTAGCAAAGATTATTGAAGTGCTATATTTATATATTTGTTAAATAAACCATAGTTATTTGTTTTACGCTTGTTGTTTCAATCTTTCAAGTTAGGGTTCCTTAGGTCTTCCCGTCTGAACTTAACCCCCTAGCCGTGTGTTATCTAGAGGCCAATTTAAATACGAATTGGGCCCCTATATATAACCCGTGGTTACCGCTAAGAGTGGACTTTAGGGCCAGTCAAAAGGACCCCTTAATCTCACTCTTAACAGTATCTAATTTACCTAAACACTATAATATGTCCGCATACACAACCATAGACGAAAAACTTGAAGCTTTCCGAGGCAAATGTTCGTTCGAAGTTTATATGCCATCGAAGCCTAATCGTTACGGAATAAAAAATATATGCCTTGGTAGACGCCAAAATATTTTACACCGCAAATTTGGAGGTCTATCCAGGAAAACAGCCTGCTGGACCCTATCAAGAATGATATTTCGAATTTAGCATTAGTACCGTCGTCTTTGTTCACCAATCCTGCTATCAAATAGAAATGTTACAATGGACAACTTTTTCATAGCCTGGGTAATGTCAGAGATGCTTCTAAGGTAACACCGCCTTACTACTATTGGAACTTTACGCAAAAACAAACCTGATATACCTCCAGCAATGTTGTTGCCAAGAGCAGACAAATCAGTTATGTTTGCTTTTAGAGACAAGTGTACACTCGTTTCGTACTGTCCAAAAAAAAACAAAAATGTCCTATTACTATCGACAATGCATTACGATGCTGCTATTGATAGGGAAACTGGCAAACCAGAAATAATTATTGATTATAACTAATCGAAAGGAGGTGTCGACGTTGTTGACAAAATGTGTGAAGCCTACAATTGCGCTCGTGCAACTCGTCGTTGGCCAATGGTCATTTTTTATAGTGCTATGAACGTCGCTGGAATAAATAGCTATATAGTTTATAATAGCAATACTCAAACAAAAATCGATAGATGAAGATTTTTAGAAAATCTAGGATTTCAGCCGACGAGCTCAACAGCAAAACATTCCTAGGACAATTCGTTTGCGGCTTGCTGAAATATGTGGAATAGAAACTGGAAATATTGCTCCTGAAAATAGAATTTATGGACGCTGTACATATTGTAGCACATAAAAAAGTAGAAGAACAAAATATAGTTGCAGAAATTGTAAGAAATATTTGTGTCTGGAGAACCTTACTGATTTTTGCCAAGCTTGTTACGAAGATTATGAGGCCCAAAATGTTTAGTAATAGTTCCAGTAATCTATATGGTTTTCGAGAATAAAAACTGTTTTTGTTTTTCATTATTTTACTACCTATCTACTATGTTAATCATTCGTTTAGCTAAAAAATTTGAGTTTTCTTTTAATATTTAATTTGAATAAAAATCAGTCTATAAAAATGAAATTTTTTTTGTATTACCTCCTAAATTGTTTAAACAACAAAAAATTTATACATTTTATATTCCAGCATAGATAATAGAGCAAATATTCATGTTATAATGAAACATTTTATTTCCGCAATTGATTTCCATTTTTTTTTTATTTTTTGAAAAAGTCGGTTTGATAGACCGACGTTATCTAAAATTTAAAAATTTTCACGTTATCGGCGGAAGGTTAATATAGGTTCATTTAATACAAAAGGTTATTTGAATTTCTTAATAATAAAGAAAAGTTAGGAAAATCTACATAGTTAATCCTACTCTCTTCGTCTTTCTCATCGGAACTTATTGGGTTCCTTGACGAAATGGTTTTCTTCTTGATTTTCTGTTGAACATCATTATCAGAATCTTTTGATACATATTGGTACTTGTATTTCTTATTTCTTTTTTCCATTTCAGTGTCAGTTGTGTTAACTTCACTTTTTAACTCAGTTTCCTTTACCTTCTTCATTCCATATTCATAATAATCTGGAATACGTACAACAAAGATTTGCAGTTTAGCTTGCGCAACTATTTCTTTTAATAATTAAATTCGTATACAAATAAAATCTTACCTGTAGAATAAAATATTCTTAAAATTTTAAATTTTTGCCAATTCTCTTCAGGCTGGACCATATTTCTAACGGCTGCATTATATTTATTAACAGTTTTGAAATATGGCCAAAATTTTAAATTTTTTGGCCCATTCAGCTGGAAATGAGCTGCACCCCTACATCAAATTCAACCACACAATAATTTTTATGCACATTATTACTCATTCTACTCGTGTAATCTGAAATATAACAAAAATGTAAGATATATTACATGAATTTTGTTGTATATGTATAAGATTCACGTTACATTAAATAAAACACAAAAACTTACACGGATAAAATGTGACTGGAAAATTTTACTACAATGTAGTAGTTGACTTGTAGAAATATACTTAACTTTTTGTAGCAAATTTTACTATAATTGATAGCATTCAAATTGTAACAATTTAATTGTCGAATAAAAAGCTACAACAATAGAAATAAAGACGACAATGTTTAGTATATTTTACTATTGTTTGCAGAAGTCAAAATTTATTACAACTATTATAATTACTACTACTAACTTCTGTTAAAATTTGTACAAATAATAATAGTTTTCTCTATAAAAAATAGTAATTTTCTCTACAAAAAATAGTAATACTTTACATTCCTTCTTGTGATAAAAATTATATTTTGTTGCAAAATATTTTGTAATATTCTATAAATTCTAAGTCATTGAATAAAACCAAAATCTGTTATTGGCCAACGTTTTTTGATGTCGACCATAAATCGTTAGATAGCAGTAGCAGTTCGCCATTTTCACAAAACAAAGCGTGGTATATAATGTCACATTATTATATTATAAGCAATGATGTTTCAAGAAAATTTTAATATTAACTTCTGTTAGTGGTAAGTACATAATATTCTGTTTGAATAATTTACCTTTAGATGACTAATTTAACCCTTCAAGTCTGGAGTTTTTTAGTTTTTAAAACATTAATAATATTTAGTATGTTTGCTTGAATATGCAAACAGTAACCCAAAAAAAAACAAAATTTAATTACTTTAGTTTTCTCTAAAACTGAGGTTGCCATATGACAACGCTAGTCGTTCACAGGGTCAAAGTTTCAGATATCCCAAGTAAAAGTCACTGGCAATAAAAAATATTTATTTAGAGCACAAAAAGTACAAAGTGATTAAAGCTTTGCATGAAAATTAATATTACAATTTAAGCAGAGACTTACATTACACTTAATGCACATAGTACGCATTATTGACTTGCAATTTTCTCCAACATAATGTTGCTTCTTTCCATTTGGAATAGCTATAAGCAAATGTCCAGTATTATCGAACCTAATGTCATCGTAAGTGGTCGTAATTTTAAAAATTTATCAGCATGATTTAAATCGTTATTATTTGCGCAATGCAAATGTCTAAAAATAGAAACAAATCTGTCTCGACGCATAGCATCTTTGACTAACATGTTGCCCATATCTTTACCTGAATCCCAATAAAATTTCTTTCCAGGCAAAGAATTATATCCGGATAAAATAAGTATGGCAAAAAATGTTTTCATTTCATCAAGTGTAAGATTTAGGTCAAAAACATTTTTTTGCTGAGCATACCGTTCTGTCTCAGCAACCAAGAATCTAAAGAGGTTATCATCAAAAAATAATTCTCGGTAGGCGTTAAACATTTAAAGTTTTCATAATTACCCGGAGTAAATGGTTTCTCTCCAGCGTCCATATCGTCCTGCGTCTATTCCAAGACATTTGGGTAAATTTTGTTGAAATGATTTATATTTTCCGCAACATTCTCCAACACTGTATTGGCACCATCCTTTGGATCACTGTTGTTGTCCTCTGGATCACTATTGTCGATAAGGACAACCACCTCTGCGGGAGCTCTTAGCTGATTTTTTTGACAGGTTGTCGACCAGACCTCCGCCGTCCTCCTCTCCAGAATCTTCTTCACTAATATCACCTTCCGGAGGCTCCATATAAATCTTATCCACCTGCGTATCATTGCCTCCTCCAGAGTTAAACCGCCTCTGAAAAAAAAAAACCAAAACGTTCAGTTATGAGTTTCTAACACAAAAAACTCTCCCTAATTCACCCCCTTACGAGTGAATTTCAACCCCTGAAGTCGACTGAACGACTTGTTTAGGGGAAGGGACGGCTATTATTATTATTTGCCGTGGCGCTCCGGGGTGACTTAAGGATGATTGATGGTGCCATTTGACTTACAGGTGAGGAAAACCCGGAAAACCTCACCCACCATCATCGAGACGATAATGTATGGCGATTTTATAATCTGCATGTCATCAACAGAAATTGAATTTCCATTAATACGGCACACATCAAATCATAAACCGAACCATGCAATTTAATTAAAAATCCACTGGTCTGGGATTCGAAGCCCAGCAGTCTCGGACTCATAAACTCGCCTATAAATGAATATAAGCGCGATAGACCGCTACACCATCGACCCGATAAATATATATGAAGTAAATAGGTAAAGTAGGGTATTTTTCACATATTTAAAAGTTTAGATTAGGAGTAGTAAAGATTACAATAAAGGAAATTTCAGGATAAGTAATATAGAATTAATGACATAGGAATTATTTTAAAAGGGGGTTTTTATTGGATTATATTAGGTATAGACAATTTTTTAAACTGCGCTTATGTGCACTTAACAAAAGTATGTTTTATTTTAGAGATATATGTTGTTTATTTTTGATGTCCAGGAAATAAATAATAGTAATGTTTCTGTAACAAAACATACCAGCTTTTATTATTAATTCGTTTCGAAAACAAAAATGGTGAGAAGTACTAATTTATAAGATCTCAGTGGATTAATTAAAATGCATGAATTCCGCAAGAATTTTGGAAATTTGATGACATAAAATAAAAAGTGCATAAATTGGTTTATTCTCGGATTTAAACAATCCACTTATTCTAGTTACAATTTTTGGAATTGTAATACTCCTAGTGAAATTACAATAATTGAGAGGAAAGAGATTTAAAAAATAAATAAAGGATAGTTTTTTCCAGTTCATTAATAATAATAATAATAATAATAATAATAATAATAATAATAATAATAATAATAAAAATAATAATAATAATAATAATAATAATAATAATAATAATAATAATAATAATAATAATAATAATAATAATAATAATAATAATAATAATAATAATAATAATAATAATAATAATAATAATAATAATAATAATAATAATAAAAATAATAATAATAATAATAATAATAATATAATAATAATAATAATAATAATAATAATAATAATAATAATAATAATAATAATAATAATAATAATAATAATAATAATAATAATAATAATAATAATAATAATATAATAATAATAATAATAATAATAATAATAATAATAATAATAATAATAATCAATAATAATAATAATAATAATAATAATATAATAATAATAATAATAATAATAATAATATAATAATATAATAATAATAATAATAATAATAATAATAATAATAATAATAATAATAATAATAATAATAATAATAATAATAATAATAATAATAATCATAATAATAATAATAATAATAATAATAATAATAATAATAATAATAATAATATAATAATAATAATAATAATAATAATAATAATAATAATAATAATAATAATAATAATAATAATAATAATAATAATAATAATAATAATAATAATTAATAATAATAATAATAATAATAATAATAATAATAATAATAATAATAATAATAATAATATAATAATAATAATAATAATAATAATAATAATAATAATAATTATTTCGAGATAATAAAAACATATTTGTTTTCGTAACTGTAAATGTGCTTTTAGTGTAATTAAGGAAATTTATATAAAATTTTTGTTTTTTTTTGGAAAACCTGAAATTTAAATATTTTTTTATAAGGTAATCAAAAGACGTTGCCACTGCACAAGAAGAAGAAAAAGAAGAAGAAAGAAGAAGAAGAGGTCAACACCGTACTACCTTTGCCAGAGTCACCATCAGCACCGTTTCCAGGATTATCACAAGTCCAAATCGTGATAGTTACCCAAATCCAGGTTCGTACCGAGGCAATCCAGAGTTCCACGATCTATGGCAGAGAATGGGCCGAATTCCAAGACTCCTGAATCCAAGGCTACATTGAGACTGCTACATCCTAATCCAGAAACAAGGGCCAACCAGTACCACCAAGCTCTCAGAGGGCATGAAGCATATCGCCAAGGGAGCTTGACATGATGTTGGGTCCATTTTGAGTCTGTTGGAGCCAAATCCACAGCAGGAAAAAGATGGAGTCAAATGCAAATAAAGGGACCAAAGAATTTATATGGAATTGACTAAAGTTCAATGAAAGAGGCCATTCCCAGTAATCAATCAATAGGGACCTACCAGTAGCAGCCGTATACAGCAGTCTCAGAGTAACAATCGAGAGAAGTAGTCCAGAGCAAATAGTCAACCAGAGAGTCCAAAGCCAGAGTCTATTGAAAAATGGATAGACTACCGCAGAGGAAAGAACCTGTAACCTCAGCCAAAAAGGGTTACCAGGTTCAGCAACCCAAGGATCAAACCATATCGGGAAGGAACCATTCCAGGAAGGTCAAGGATCAGGGGATGATGACAGGTGACATCCAGAGAGCAAAGGGTAGTTACGGCCAGCCAATCAAGAAGAACAAAGAAGACACAACTTATGTAGTGAAGCAAGCGTAAGGTTACCATATTATTGTAGATTGTGTTTGAATTTTTTTTGTAAATTATTTACTTAAGGGTTTTAAAAATAATTGAACTAGTTCATTTTTTTTTTCTGTCGGGGGAATAATGTAATAATTGTCAAATATAAAGAATTTATCAAAAATTCTAAATAAGTATTTTTATGTTTTACATTAAAAATTAAAAAGGAAGACACGTATAAAAATAAAACAAATAATCAGGTTAATAATCTAGTCAATGGCTACATTGAGCGTGACATTTTTAAAAATACAACCATCACATAAATTTTGGTTTATATAGAGAGGAGACAGAAAGAAAGTCTCTCTTGAGTAAACGCTCTCAGTCGAGTTCGAACT